GGGCAGGTCTCGGAGTTGGGGGCGGTGTGGATGGACGAGGCCCGAGAAGCCGGCAGAGAAGAGCCATGAATGCCGTGATGACCGACTTAGACTTTGCGTCCCCGAAAATGGGGGGCCTGAGAGTGGGGAGCCTGAGAGTGGCTGCCGGGCCTATACCTGTGGCCCGGTCCTGCCTGCACCTGGGGCTGGCCAGGGCCGCGCGGAACCGGGAACTAGAATGAAGCCTGGCTCCTGCTGTGTGCCAGCCCTGAGCTGCTGCTCCACCTCCACGCCCAGAGCTGTCCTGGGAGGAGTAAGCGCCATCACCCCCATTACACAGTTGAGAAAACTGAGGCTCGGGAAGAGGAGGTGACTCCCAAAGTTTGTCAGAACTGGAAGCTTTCAGCCACCGCCTCCCCCTGGGAGAACAGGAGCCCCATGAATTTGTGTGGCTTTACTTCTCGGTCATAAAAGTTTTTCATGTTCCTCAATGGACTTGAGCCTGACTCACCCGCATTTTGCAGATTAAAGAAAACAGTGTGGGAGATGGAGAACACATCTAAAGAAAAATGAAAAAGTCCTAGATATGTGTAGGTTCTCCCTTTTTGTGAGGACAGCTCCATTCTGCTCACCAGCTGCTCTGGCCTGGACCCTGGGGGGGTGGGGGGATGGGGTCTTGGCTAAGGGGTGGCCCCTGGTTTGGGGTAGTTGGCCTAATGCTGAAGACAGAGCACTTTCACGGGCCAGCTAGTGGGTCCTTCTTAGCTGGAATCAGGCCCCCTTTCAGGGGGCTGCCTCCTGGGGCCGAGGCAGACTAAGTGGCGTCAGTGATGAGGGGAACTCCGGAGCCAGACAGGGTGTCCCCGGGCCTGGACAGCCCCCTCTCTCAGCCAGTTTCTGTATCTGCAAAGTTGGGGTTGGACCAAGTACCTTCCTGCTCAAAACACAGGCAGTTGCTGTAAAAAAGATACAGTGTCCACTGCAGATAGTCCATACCTATCTGTTGTAACAGTGAATGCCCTTCCCCCTTCCCCCCTTCCCCTCCCCAGTGACTTGCCCTCAATTCCGCCTGCATTTCCTGAGCACTTGCCCTGGGGTGGGAGGGGACCCCAACAGTTTGTTAGGTATAAAAGGGCCTCACTCGCTGCAGCCCCGCCAGCCTCCATGGGCAGTGAGCTCTGACTTGGGCAGGTCACTCAGCCCATGGAGCCTCCATCTAGAAACCGGGGTCATGCCCTGGCCCGGAGGCTCAGTTGGTTGGAGCGTCATCCCGTACACCACAAAAAAGGTGGGTTCCATTCCCAGTCAGGGCACATGCCTAGGTTATGGATCTGATCCCCAGTCTGGGCGAGTATGGGAGGCAACCAATCAATGTTTC